CCAAGGGGTGATGGAGGCCTGGATGGGATGCTGGGGGCCCAGGGGGTAATGGAGGCCTGGATGGGATACTGGGAGCCCAGGGGTTGATCAGGCCCAGGGGATGATGGAGGCCTAGATGGGATGCTGGGGGCCCAGGGGGTGATGGAGGCCTGGATGGGATGCTAGGAGCCCAGGGGGTGATGGGGGCCCAGGGGGTGATGGAGACCTGGACGGGATGCTGGGGGTCCAGGGGGTGATGGAGTCCTGGATGGGATGCTGGGGGCCCAGGGGGTAATGGCCTGGAGGGGATGCTGGGAGCCCAGGGGGTGATGGAGTCCTGGATGGGATGCTGGGAGCCCAGGGAGTAATGACCTGGAGGGGATACCGGAGGCCCGGGGGGTGATGGGGGCCTGGACAGGATGCTGGGGGCCAGGAGGGAATCCTGGGACCCATTGGGATGGTGAGGGCCGGGAGGGCATGATGGGGGAATAAGGTGCCTGAAATGGAAGTGTGGGGGATCAAGAGTGAGGATTTGAGGCTGCACACACCAGTAGGTCTGAGATGGAGGATCCTCTGAGTGGGGATGTGGGAAGGAGTGACAAGTCAGGGCCTTAGCATATTGGAGAAGGAAATGTTCTGTGAACACAAACCTACCCACATCAACATGGAAAGAAAGATTGTAGGTTTGTTACTATGTGAAGTTGGCAGATTACATGTACATAGAGAGTCTGCAAGAGAGTATAGAGTTGGGCAGAACGCATGTCACACACGGTAAAAGCAGAAGAAAGGACAATTAGAGCTCTCATCTCCTTGAGGGAAAAGCAGATGCACCTCCTTGGTCTTTTGAACCTGGTGAGAAGTTTCTGATTCTGTTCTGCAGGTGTATGTTTACAGCTCTGAGTTGGCAGCTGGTGACTGCCTTGTAAAATCTGGACGCTGGGTTTGTCTCATTCCTGCAGGAAGGAGACTCTCTGTGTAAAGAGGAGGGACAGGTGTCTCTCTTTTATTAAATGAGGAAGATGCCACCCTGCTTACCTTTACAGGTGGGATACGGAGCTTCTGGGGATGTTGGGACTCTGAGCTTTGGAGGAGGGCTCGAGGGGGATTCTTCCCAAGTGGCATGAAGCTTACCCAGAAGGAGAACAGGGAGGACCAGAAGTGGGGAAAGGAAGAGGAGGGGGGGCAGGAGGAGAATGAGCTGGGGTGAGTCTGAGTTCCGGGTAGAAGTGGGATCCACGGTGGGAGCTGAGAACACCGAGGAGGTGGGGCAGGTGGTAGACAGTGTTTGTGGCGAGTAGAGCAGTGTGAAGAGCCGTGTGCTTCTGTGTGTGTGGTGCCGGCTTCCCACTCGGCTTCATTGTGCCCTGAGGTCAGCATGTGGCCATCAGCAAGGACACCTGGGGCCATTGATGTGGGGGAAAAGAATCACCCATGGGGTGCCTGGGCAGCTCAGTCGGTTGAGCATCTGAGTATTGCTTTCAGCTCACATCATGATCTCAGGGTTTGTAGGCTTGAGCCTGGTGTTGGGCTCTGTGCTGACAGTGTGGAGCCTGCTTGGAATTCTCTCCCTCTCTCTCTGCCCCCCTGCCCTGCTTGTGTGCATTCTCTCTCTCAAAATAAGAAAAAGAAATCACTTATGATCCTATCCAGATAAGGCTTAAAAAACTTTTTGATATAGAGCTATCCTTGCAGGTGTGCATTTGTTCTTTAATTCTTTCTTCCTCTCCTTGTATGCACACGCGCACGTGCGCGCGCACACACACACACACACACACACACACACACAGTCTGTTTCATACGTATGAAAAGTTACATGTGTAAGCTTATGCTGTCATTACCCTTTTGCAAAAATTTGACTGTGTACTGTCAAAATCTTGCCATCTGTTGGCTCCATGGTCCTTAATTACTGGATTTCACTTGTGGCTGCAGACCTTGGGAGGCAGTTGGGGATAATGTGGGAAACAGAGTGTTTGTGATTGTTTGAAGATTTAGGAAATACGGCTTTAAGTTTGCGGCTGAAGCTCTGAGGTTGCAACTAAGTTCCTAAGAAAGAGGAGGCTTTGGCCTAGCAGGTCCACACGCTCCCCAGGTCTGATTGCACAACTGAGCCTGTAAGTCAGGGTAGGAGTTTTGTGCTATTACCTGTAGTCCATGTGGTGGCCCTCTGGTGTGGTCAGTGTTGCCACCGCTGCACCAATGGGGCTGTGGCAGCAGGCGTGAGAGCAGGGCTGGGGCCAGAACATGGGCTGTGCCCCTCAAAGGCCCCCAGATGGCAGGCCTGGCATCACTGGGGAACTGTGGGAAGAGCACATTCCTGGGCCTGGGGCAGGGCACTGCTCCCAGCCTGAACGCAGCCCAGTGATGTACTGTGCACAGCCAGAGAGGAGGGCTGCAGGGGGAGTTTAAAAGTTAGCACTTGGTGGGAAATGTCGTGGGAATGAGGACAAATCCTCATTCTCTGTCTGCAGCGTTAGAGGGATGGTACACGCCCTGTGAATAGACCACATTGTTGCAGCAGGACACCCCCAAACAGCACATGTGAACCTCTGGGTTGAAAGCACGAGCCTCTAAGGAGCAGGAGGTAAAGGTAATGGAAAAGGCGGCTGCCGGCGCCCAGAGACACTGCTCCCACTGTTCTGACTCCAGACCTGCTTGTGCCCAAGAGTCCTTGGAACTTGTGTAAAATGTCGCTGGTCCTGTTACTTTGGAAACTAACTAAAAATAGGGTGTTTACTTGATACTGAGTGTCAGTCCAGGGCACAGGTCTGATGTAAGCCCTGGGAGTTATCCATGCACAATAGTGCATCTCATAAAGTGCTGAGCGTCGCACGCTGCACCCACGTGCCCACTCATTTCTCCCCACGAGCATCCCCAGTTCTGCTGCTTTCCCAGGTCAGCACAGGTCCCCGTGGGTTCCAGACGCAATAAGGACTCCAGGAGCTTAGCACAGATCAGAGACCCAGGTCAGGACCTGGAAGGAAGAAAGTCATCCATGGTGGATGCGGTCAATGTTGCCACATGAGGTGATTTGTAGTTCGCTCAGCAGGCATTTACCAAGGGCCGAGGTGTGCCAGCATTGTGCCCAAGGCACCCTCCTTGTGATGTTTGCCTTCTGTGGTGGGTAGACTGAGCCTGTCAGCATGTAGGATCATTCACAAGCTCCTCAGAGCTGTGGGCAGTGCTCTGGTCGGAGCTATGGGCAGTGCTATGGTCAGTGCTGTGGTCAGGGTGGGCCCACTATGGCCCACTGGCCAAGCTTGGCAGCCACCTATTTTGTCCACAAGGACAGCCATGCCCCTCTGTTGCTGTGGTGTCTTGGCTGCTTCCATCGGCAGAGCGGGGTGCTTGTGACAGTGACCAGTGCCCACGGAGTCCAGGGTATTTACTGTCTGGCCTTTGGTCAGAAGGCAAGGAGGCTGGTGTTGCTGCATAGGGTTGGGATCAAGGGCAGGAGAGGGAGGCCTGGCCTCTCAAGGGCACTGCTTCGCACAGACTAGTGAGGGCCAGTGTGGGAGTGCTGTTCTCCCTTGGGTCCTCCACATCTTCCCTGTCCACTCTGTCTGCCGGGGAAGAACCATGGGAACATGAGGAAGGAGGGGTGCTGGCTGCGGGTTTCTCCTTTTGCTGCGTCCTTGGAATCATCCTCAGAATCATCCACCCTGAGTGCTGCTCCCAGTAGGCAGTGAGGTTTCTCCTCCTCTGGACTGTTCTTTCCTCTTCCCTTGCTCTTCCCTGAGTGAATTCTAGCATATCTGAGAGGTGGAATTGTCCTGGGGTCTTCAGTTATTTTACTGGCAGATGAACAGGCCCAGCAGGAGCCATGAAGCTGGTAGAGCGAGCTCCTGATGATGCAGTACCGGCCTCAGTCACTGTTTATAGAAGGCGTGCGTGGGCTCACGCGGTGCTCGTGGAGTGACTCCTGGGCCAGCAGCTGTGGTCGGGGATTTACAGTGGGGCTCATGCGGTGCTCGTGGGGTGTCTCCTGGGCCGGCAGCCGTGGTCAGGGATTTCCAGCGGGGCTCACACGGTGTCTATGTATGGACAGGGACTCCCTGTGGGTTGCACACTGTGGAGACTAGGGGCCGATTTGGGGGGGCTCCTGGCTGCTGGAGGACTAGGGTCAGGCTGGCCCCAGGTGCTGACCAGTACAGTGACAGGCTCCATGGCAGGGCTGAGGTGCCTGGCCTCCAACCTTAGTCTTGGTCTCAAAATCCCAAAATCATGTTAGTCGTCCCTGGTTCTGAGAGTAGAGGCTTGCCTGCCATCCATGTTCCGGATGACAGCAGGGGCCTCGTGGAGGAAGGGCACTAGCAGGTCACCTGCAGAGGACATCACAAGTGTGTGCACCTGACTTTCCTGTCCTGCCAGAGCTCCAGGCCACCACCAGCGCTCTGTAGTCTGTTTTGTGTTTGGGTCAGTGTCAGGGGAGTGCCCTCTTGGTGGGGACAGAAGTCTGGTGAAGAGATGTTTGTTTTCCAGTTCCCACTGTCCGGCTGTGTCTGCTGCAGATGGTGACCTTGCGCACCATCCCAGCATGGCTGCAGGGCTGCTGGGAACGCTCACAGGTCATGCCCCTCGGGAGCATGACTCAGTTGTCTGTGCAGAAGGTTGGGACCGTGGATACCTGGGTCCCTCGCACTATGAGGTTGGCATTTGTCAGGTGCATCTGTAGTGCTGAGGCTCCCCTGGTCTGGCACTCACCATGTGGCCAAGGAGATGGGCCTCCCAGGGGGCTGTGAGCAGGCCTCCAAGGGGACAGTGTTCTGTAATCCTGGCCAGGAGGCAGCAGATGGTGTCTCAATCAGGAGGGACAACCCTGCACCACTATGAGAAGAAGCGCCTGGGACAAAAGCTGGCATGAGATGCAGAGAATTACATCCTGGAAGTGCCTGCCCCTGGTTTCTGTACCATCTCAGCTTCGATGGACTTTCCTGAGTCCCCTATCCGACACACTGGTTAACTAGGCCAGGACCACATCTGCCATCTGTGTCTGACGGTGTTCAATGAAGGCTGCTACCCACAGAACTGTGAGCAGCAGGGTGAGCTGGACAGACACATTCAGCCCCAGAGTGTTCCCTAAGTTGGGTTAGGAGTACAATGCTGTCCTTGCCCCAAGAGCTGGCCGTCACAGGAACCGGTGGCTGTCCTGCCATGCCATCCTCCGATAAGACTTCCTTCCCATATGTCACCACACCTTCACCTGTGAGCTGTGGAGTTTAGTCTGCGTTAGCTCAGTTTGTATTTGGTGGAGCATTGCCAACTCTCCGCTCACTGTGTTTCTCTGTAAGTGGGCAGCTCCGTGCAGTACACGTGGCTTTGTTGTCTTGTCCAGCCGTTCTGCTCTAGTCCGGGTCTTTAAGGTACAACTCAGTGAAGATGTTCACAGGGGTCCAGTGGACTGAGCTCCACGGGCCCAGGCCGAAGCCAGTGTTGTTTCCTCAGGGCCTGTGGCCGGGATGCAGGGACTCCCTGTGTGTTGTTAAGAGATGACATTAGTTATTTGTTCTCCCTATTTCACAGGGAAGGCCATGTTGTGACTGCGAGGGGTGAAGACAGAGGGTAGCAGTAGAAGCCCATGGTACGGGGGACCCTTGCCCAGAAGTGAGCTGGACGAGGCATTCCCAAGCCCAACTCTGGCCAAGTCAGCATCACGTGCTTGTGGCCTGAGCTTGCATAAGGTCCTCTTCCTGTCCCGGCTTCGGTGCCTTATCTGTTCAGTGAGGGGCGGACTGCGTGTCCTTCAGGGGTTGTTCACATCTGCTGTTTGTGACTTTCCGCCCTTCGTTAGCAAATGCAAACTGTAGGTGTGAACAGTGCGCCCCTGCTGCTTGTAACTGTATGAAACTGTACGTGTACGTTTGTATGCATAGCCTGTCGATTACGTGGAGCTTTGTGAAGTTAGCGGGCCTTACAAGAAGGGAAAAGTTTTTCTGTGGGATTTTTTCTTTTATGGTATTAAGTCAGTTTCTGCACATTTCCAGTGGAGAATGTTAGTACAGGAACTTGTCAGGAATGTGTGGGGGAGGTGGGGGTCATCACAGCCAAAACAGTGTATGCATGAGGGATCCTGGGGTGGCCGTTTCCAGGGGTTTCTGCCCTTCAGTGAGGTCCAGCCATGGACCCTGCTTCTGGTGGGGCGGGCCTGCATCTTGCTCACTCCGGGTGGAGGGAGACGGCTGTGCTCAGAGCCTGGCCGCCCCCTCTCCACCCCTGCCGGTGGTGTCTCTGGTCCAGGTGTGATGATGTGCTGTAGCCTGCCCCACCCACTGATTTATCCCTCTCCTGCACAGGCAGAGTGGCCGAGGCTGTGGAGCAGACCCACCGGGAGCCAGATGAGCAGAGAGGTCTGCGTGCACACCTGGCCGTGCTCCTACTACTTAGAGCTGGACAAGCGATGGGTCCCTGGAAAGCTTTCCTTAACCTCCTGCTCCCTGAAGTTTGCGGCTGATGAGGCCCAGGAGACGCTGGTGAGTTTCCCGCTGTCTGGCATCACTGCAATCAAGAAGGAGGCTTCTCACTTCGTCTTCAGCTCCATCACCGTCCTGGAGAAGGACAACCGCAAGCACTGGTTCAGCTCCCTGCAGCCCAGTCGCAATGCCGCATTCAGTGTCATCGAGCATTTCTGGAGAGAGCTGCTGCTCTCCCAGCCGGAAGCACCGCTTCCTGCGACCAAGGGGAAGGAGCTGACTGGCCTCATGGCCTGTTCCCAGAAGCGCCTGGAGGACACGGCCAGAGTCCTCCACCATCAGGGCGAGCAGCTGGACAGCATCACCAGGGGCCTGGACAAGATGGAATCCGACCTGGACGTGGCTGACAGGTAGACAGAGCCACGTAGCCCTGCCCTGTGTGTCTTCCCCGCCATTCCCTGTGTCGTACATATGGGTCACCCCGCCAGGTGGGCTACAGTGGCACATTTGTGGGGGGAGGGCTCTGTGTTTCCAGTGTCTCAGGAACACCACCTCATTCAGGCGCCTGTGAGGGAACAGGCCATGCGGCCGGGTGACTCGTGGAGGTCACATGCGGTCCACCGGCACATCTGTTGTGCACAGCCACGTAGCAGCAAGCCTGGGGCCTCACTGAGGCGCTCCAGCTGCTCCCAAGCCTTCCATCGCAGGACCCCCCTCTGTTTCACATCAAGGACCCCACGTGGGTCATATGTGCCAATATTAATCTGTTTTTTATGAACTAAGATTCAAAAAATCACTTGTTTGTTCAAAAAGTGCAGTAATAAACCCACGACCTGGTAACAAACAGCTCTGTGAATGAAAAATAGTTTTTGTAAAGCAGACATGCTTAGTGAGAGGGTAGCCTTGTTTGGGGTTTTGCTCCTCTCTTTCCCGCACAGTCCTGCCGCCTGCCTGCTTCTGCAGTCGCCTGCAGGTCATACTGTGTCCTGGGGCCTCTGGGTGCCCCTCACATGTCCATGAGCACAGAGCTGAGTGCTGCCAGGTGCTGCTGTGAACACACTGGCTCCAGAAGGTCTCAGAGACGATGCTCTACACTGTGCTGACTCTAAGATGAGTGCAGGACGAAGGAGATTTTAGCGTCTGCTGGGAACAGCCTCTCCTTGTGTCCCTGATGGCTGTCGGGGAACTCATGACCAGATGGCCTAGTGCTGGGCCCTGAGTCCAGGCCTGCATGGCTGCTGCTGGTGGGGACCCTTGACTTGAGTGACCCCACTCTGCAGGCACCACCTGTTGCTGTCCTGGGACACTCCTGACTGCCTGCATGGTGTGGGAGGCGTGTGCTCGAGCTGCAGGGAACAGAGCCCCAAATCTTACCTTCAGAGGAGTGCTTGTGGGGGCACCTAGGGGGCTCAGTGTGTTAAGCGACCAGCTCTTGGTTTTGGCTCAGGTCATGATCTCGTGGTTTGTGAGTTCTAGCCCCATGTCGGGCTCTGTGCTGACAGCACGGAGCCTGCTTAGGATTCTCTCCCTCCCTCTCTCTCTGCCCATCCCCAGCTCATGCTCTGTCTCTATTTCTCAAAATAAGTAAACTGGAAAAAAAAAAAAAAACAAGTTGCAAGTAGATGTGTACAGCAGAATACCGTTTATCAGTAGTGGAGGACAAAGTACAGAGAGCACCCGAGCAGGGCGGGGGGAGGGCACACTGGGCCCCTGGGAAGGGCAAAGCAACCGCCTGGCGCTCCTGGCCACAGTCCTTGACGCACATCCATCAGTGCTTTTGTGGGGAGTCCCCAGGGAGCTCTCTGGTTGGTCCATGAGGTCTGGTTCCCCCTCAGTTCTAAAGTGTGTTCCTTTCAGATTCCTGTTGTCTGGTTGTCTGGCCTCTGATCTCATTCTGTGTCTTATCTTTTTGTTTTACTTTCTGTTTCTTGAAGTGTGTCTTCCTCCTACCCTTCCATCTCTGTGATGTTTTTAATTTCTCCTAGTTATTTATTAATCTCCAAATGTTCCTTCTGAATAGCAGCCTGTTGCTTCATGGGCACGCTGACCTCTGTGTCTTGGGGTTTTCTGGAGAGCCATGTGCGGAAAGGACTTGGGTGTATGTCCCAGCTCAGGAGAGGAGTTTGCTCCCCTCCCCTGCTCCCAGCTCACCTCCCGCCCTTCAGCTGAACCACATGCGAGCTGGCCAGGCTCCCTGTCGCCAGCTCCCTCCTGACACACGGCTTGGACCTTCTGCTTGTGGGGTGAGGTAAGGCCCAGCTTCACAAACATGCCTGTTGTCGAGGTCCCTGGTACCCTCTGTCTCCACGTGTAGGTTCTTCACCACAGACTGGGTTGTGTCCCAGCTTTGCCACCACTGCCTTTTCCCTTACTTTCCTGGATTCACAAAGTCTGTCTGGTTTCTAGGTTCCAAAATGTTGTTGCTGCTGTGTCTTCTCGTTGTCCTTGGGGAAAATATGTGTATTCGATTTGTCATCTCTGATAGTGTGATTTATAATAAATATGGACTCGGCCCTTGTAACTGTTCCTGGCTCAGAGCTCCTAAAGCCCTTGGGTTTCCCAACTGAAGACGGCAATGAAGGTGTCATGGTGTTCATAACAAGTCCGAGTTCATGTTGTTGCGGTGACTTTGGAAAGCCCCTAGGGATGGCGGCTGGTGGCCTGCGGACCCCACCGTGGGACCAGAGAGTTGGAGGCTTCAGTCCTGCCCCTGACCTCTGGGGAGGGGAGACGGAATCAATTACCAATGGGCAATGGATTAATCGATCATGTCTATACAATGAAGCCCCAGTGAAAACTCAGAGGGATGGTCTTGGGGTTGGGGGGGGGGGGCTTCCAGGCTGGGGAGCACGTGGAGACGTGGGTAGAGTGACGTGCCTAGAGAGGCATGGAAGCTTCCCGCCCCTTCCCCAGTGCCTCACCCTGGGTATCTCTTCCATCAGGCTATCCCTGAGTCATATCCTTTTGTAATAAACCACTAACCTAGCAAGTGAAACATTTCCCTGAGTTCTCTGAGCCCCTCCAGCACATTCATCAGACCTGAGGAGGGGCCATGGGAACTTGTGATCTGTCACCTGTGGGTCAGAGCACAGGTGATGTCTGGACTTGGGGTTGGTGCCTGAAGTGGCGGTGGTCTTGTGGGGCTGAGCCTGTGAGGTCTGATGCTGACTCCATGTGGACAGGGCCAGAGTGGAGTCCATGTGGACGGGACCAGAGCTGAGTGAATGGCTTGGTGTGGGGATAAAACCACACACACCTTGTAAGTGTCAGAATCTGATCATCCTCTGACAATTTTTCAAACAGACATATCCTTGAGCATCCTTTTTTAGTGCACCAACCTACAATTACTTACAATTCTGTAAGTATCTGGTGCGGAGGAAGGAGGAAGAGATGCAGGGGCCAGTGCAGAGAAAGGGATGCAAGGAGCTGTGGCAGGGGGCCGGTACATAGTCCGTTTGCTCCAGCCCTCATGAGGATGCCTGAGTTTTCTGCTCACAGCTGCTTGCTCCATCCTGGAGCAGGTGCTGTCTGTGCAAAGTTCAGGTTTTCCTGCCATCTTTGGACATTGTCCCATTTACAGTCATAGGGTAAAACAGACATAGTGCAAGTGCTTACTTCTCCATCTGTGTGGTCTTCTCCTTTGATTTGCCATTTTGTTGCCAGTTTCTGCCTTTTTCTGTGTCTGGGTTGATATTTCAACAGGAAATTGGGAAGAGCTATCTAAAGTGTGCTTTCTTCTCTTCTGTGTCAACCCATGAGCTCCTGTTATTTGCTTTTGATTCCTGCTAGGAAATGAGGGTAACGATGGACTAACTCGAAATATCTGAGCTATTGCTCTGTTTTACATGTTGTGTTCCTCTTCCTGAAGACTCAGTGGATGAACCAGAGAAGGACTGTCACAGAAACAGACCCTTCCACTCCCAACCACTGTGCTGCTTCCATGGGGCACCAGGCATCCTGAGTCCCCAGAAGGACTGCCCCTGCACCCATCCTTCACATCTCCCTGTGTCCCACTGTGTCTCCAGCAGCGTATCGCCAGGGCTGGCGGACTGCTGGCCCCCAACAAACCATCAAGAGTTGGCACTTTCAGACATTGGTGTGAGCACCCCTGTGGGCCTGACTGCTTGCGTTCTTATTTTTGTGCTTTGTGATTCATTGTCCCCTCAGAGGTCTTTCCCGCGGGTGGGCCAGGCCGGGTACACTGTGGAGTCCTTGATTCTGCTGGAGGTGCCCTGTCACAGTGCTTGGTCTCTGTCCCACCATGGTCCCAGGTGGAAATAGCTGTGGTGCCTCCAGGCGTCCTCAGGGATGGTGGTGCCTCTTTGTCCTGGCCTGTGCCCGCCTCTGCCCACCCTTCTTCTCTGTCTCCTTCTCTGCTTCTCTCTATATTTGTGTGTGTGTGTGTGTGTGTGTGTGTGTGTGTGTGTGTCCCCGTCCGTCCTACAGGTTCTGTCTCTCTGGAGAACCTGACAGATGGGGAATCTGGTACTAAGACTGAAGGGTGATTTCTGAATGTGTTCTACAGTTTGGGGGATTAATAATCTGATTAGATTTAAATCTAATAACTCTCATTTCCACGCACTAATGCATGGCATGTAGCATTAGAGATACACAAAATATCTCTGCAGGACACTCCTAGTCAAATACTTTAAGAGGCAAGGATCCGAGTGACCACATATTTGATGCTAATAGCATTTTTGTCAAACTGAGATTTGCTGGCTGCTCCCAGCTCCACTGGACAAAGTGCAGAAAGGAAAGAATGAGCTCAGGGTGCCACAGAGTGGCCTGAATGCCCTGTCTCTGCCCTGAAAGATGCCCTGAGTGCCTGTGGTTGCAGGGCCGGGGTTTCTTACCTTATTATTATATAAATCCTAGTTAGGTAACTGAAGTGTAATAACGGTTTCAGGAGTAGAATTCAGTCATTCATCACTCACATGCAATACTCAGTGCTCATCCCAACAAATGCCCTCCTTAATGCCCATCTGCCCCACCTCCCCTCCAGCAACCCTCAGTTTGTTCTCTACTGTTAGGAGTCTCTGTGGTCTGTTTCCCTCTCTTCTCTTCCCTCCTTCCCATATGTTCATGTTTTATTTATTAATTCACATATGAGTGAAATCATATGGTATTTGTCTTTCTCTGATGGACTCATTTCGCTTAGCATAGTACATTCTAGCTCTACCCATGTCATTGCAAATGGCAAGATTTCACTCTTTTTTTTTTTAATTTTTTTTTTTTACATTTATTTACTTTTGAGAAACAGAGTGAGACAAAGCGTGAGCAGGGGAGGGGCAGAGAGAGAAGGAGACACAGAATCTGAAGCAGGCTCCAGGCTCTGAGCAAGAGGTCAGCACAGAGCCTGATGCAGGGTTTGAACCCACGGACTGTGAGATCGTGACCTGAGCCGAAGTTA